TCATAGGCGAGTTCGACTCGGTCTTGGCTATTTTTTACGTTAGATTTCGTTAGTCTGTTTTATCGACCAGAATACTGATATATGTGGTGTGATATTTAATATCTATTCTTGTCTCTTTAGTTTATGATAAAATAAAAATACTAGCCTTGAACTAAATAAAATTGAAAACAACGTATACTAATTTATTAAATTACTTTAATCTTAGAGTAAGTAACTTATACTTCATATAATTCGTTAATTTTTGTTAATATAATCGACAGTATGTCAGGTTATACATGCTTTGGTGGTAGAGCTTACAATTGACTGCGGAAATTTGACGTGTTATGGTAACCTGACGTTCAGTCGTGGATACCTATTATATATTCCTAACGGAGTTACAAGTTACAGTGTAATAATACTAAACTAGGCGCCCTAGGCAAAACACACTGGAACTTGACGCCCTAGGCAAAACGCTTAGAATGGAGACCATAAACTTCACAATAAAATGAAAATCTAATGTTAGGTACACCGATTAAAGAATGAAATTTTTACAATTAAACTCCTTAGGTACTGCTGATCCGAAAATTTTGTACATTTGAATACCTCGGACATGGATTCATGTTCAAAGAACAAAAGTGATTTTTATGATTGATAAATTTTGCAATCACAATGCTATACTGAAAAATATTTGTAATGAAAATTGCTTAAAACCTTTTCCCTCCCACTCTGACACTAGCGAATTGGACTAATCGCCAATTTGTAATTTTTTCACGATTGGACCAATCGCGAATTGTACCAATCGCACCTAAACGATCCGGACGACTACTCTAACCACTGAGCTACCCAGGAACTAGAAGGACTGACGAATTTTTCAAGAAAATTGTTACTTTTTCGCTACTACATAGCGTATTTTCATCAATGTTCAGACAGTCCACCCTAACAACCGATCAACTTTGGATAAAGATGAAAATTTGTTCTAACTATTATATTTAACCAATTTTGCATTCACAACGCTATACTGAAAAAATTGCTTAATGTAAAATGCTTAAAATATCCCTAGCACTCTGAGATGGGACTCGAACCCGTAATCTTTTGCAGTCCTGGTGACTGCTCTAACCACTAAGCTACCCAGGACCTAACAGAGTGCCAGAGACAAAGTGCATTTTTCATTTAAAGTATTTTTTTGCATTTTTAAGGTTAGGGTTAGAACAAACATAATCAGTTTGCCATGCTGTGCCGCCCTCAAAATATGAGCGCACTAAGCGGTTGCCCAGTTAGCCTATATGGACGGACCGGCCCTGATTATAAGGGATAGTTAATAATAATTTATATGGCAATTCCGTAACTCACTTGACATTAACATATATTTAGTTACTTATTTTATCCTTGATACGTCATACGTCACACGAGCTTCGGTATTTTGTTGGTATTCACGGCAACGTCAGTGTTTCGCACGACGGCATTACGTTCTGTTCTATGATATAGTATGAGAAATTATTTGATTAACTAATAGTGGTTTTTCGCGTAAAATATGTCGCACTTTGAGAATGACACTGTCACTAACCAAAAACGACGTATTTTTTACTTCAGGCAACATTTTTCTTGATAAGTATAAAAAATGCAAGAAACTGCTTGGTGGCGTAGAGATGATACGTTGTTAAGAGGGCCGGATTACAATTTCTTGAACTTTACACGCTCATTACTGAAAATCTCATTTTTTGCATTTTGTCCCTATCGTTCTCGGCGTACGTTATAATAATAATAATATTTTATTTATTCATAAATATGTTTATAACATATATTGATACTTACCTTATACATATAGCAACATAATTAAGTATCTGTGATGACTCGGATTCGATTCCCGATCGAACTTCTCTTTATTGTCTTGTAGTGTACTAGTGTACCTTCAAATGCTACATAAGACGAAGGCTTCAGCTGCTTACGAGTATATTACAAATGTTCATTATGTTTCCTTAATTAAAATTAAGTCATTTAAATATATGTCGTATCGTTATCTATTACTTTTTCAGAATATTGGACTCTTTAATAGATTTTAATGTTTCCTGATTAGTTACTTATTTCCAATTAATAGAATAAGCTAAATAGTCAATAAATAACAGAGAAATAAAGAAGTAACAGCATGTTTTAAAAGTTTCGGAGATACGGTGCTACGAGTATGTTTGTGGAACTGCTGCTGGTCGACCAAAAACTCTCCCTAAATTCAAGGCACTAAATGAGGCAAGGCATACATTGCTACGCTAGTGAAAACTGTATGAGCGTCTGGCCAATCTTTATAATACATTTGTTATTTGTGCGTTTATATTTATAGCTGTCATAATGAATTTTGTTACGTTTTATGTAATTAATTTAATACCATATTTATTTTTTCGCAAATTTTCCTTACTTTTTTAAGTTTTCAAATAGTAATATTTTCCAAATTTGTGTCAAAAGAAATTTTTTTGGTAAATATTTATAAGTTAAAATGGTTCATATCTTTCAAACACATAAAAGAAATCTGTACTTTCACTTGTAGGACACAGCCCTATCAGATTTCCATATTATTTAAAATAATTGTACGCACCGTAATGTATCGGTATAACTTAAAGATATTTTTTTCCCACTCATGCATGACTGTTTATAAAAATAAGAGTATTTATTTGATAATTTACTAACGCAATATTTTATTCAAACAAAATAAAAAAAACGATGAAAGATAACACTAAAACCTTTCTTTGAGCTTTTACTAAAATGCAGGATTAAGTCATTTTAACGTCTAATCTTTTGTCGTACAAAATTAATACAATATTATCAGTAATTTTATTAATCAAAACTCATTTGGTGTAATTGTACCCATTTCCACAACAATATCTGTTACACATCATTCCACTTAAGAGCTTGGAAACACTCCAAGCACCCATTCGGTTTCATTTCTAAGAAGTCTCGTCAGATTCTTTTTTCTTAATTTTCTCGAAACCACATTTCTACACTTATCCGAATTATTTAAGCCGGTTGTTGTAATTTTCGGTAGTTCCTTCTATTAAAATAGATAGCATAACTAATCACCAACACTTGTTTAATTGAACAAATTCGGGTCACTATATAGTTAAGGTTGCCACCTGTCTTGCTTAGACTTACATTTTGGCTTTTTATAGTTATATATATATATATCTGGCCTTGGCTTTTGTTAGGATTTTGCTTATTACCAAATTATGATTAATGATTAATTCAAGTCTGATTAATGATTTTCGTTAATTGATTGATTTGATTTTTAAAATTTTCTTTTTATTATATAGAATTAAAAACGTACGGCTTTGTAAAGGTTATATGTAGACTATTAAAGAAGATAAAGTTCGGCTTTGAGAACTAAATTTTCAGTCAAATACAGCGTAAAAAAAATCTGCTTTTTTAAAAGATGGCAACCCTATATACAGCCATTTATGTGTGTGTCTAATCGAAGATGTCGTAACAACAACGACGACGGTTAATATTTTAGGCCTTTTATATTTTGCAGTACGTATATTAACTCGAATATTGGTCAAGGCATTTAACTACGTAAATGTCTTATGAAAAGAACAACCTACAACGTCGTTCTTACAAAATGAATATTTCGAGGAAAATTGTAAATAAAAGTAATGTTTCAGCAAAGTTATATTATTTACTTATTCTTAAATATTAATAAAAAAACATTCTATTACAAAACCTGTTAATTATTGGAAATTATTGGTTATTTGACCGATTTATCCCAATAATATTAATGGTATCTCATTAGTTTTGCCAATTGACTGTCGTTGTTTGATTTTTGATAATAGTAATATAATATGATAAAGACGTTAATCCGGAGCACAATTTAATGTTTTGTTGCTGCATATAGATAATTATTAGCGTTATTTTTCCATTAGCAAGTTAAAGTGACTGGAACCGCAAAAAAAGGACAGAAAAAAGTTATCTTGCAGAATTTGTACTTACCGTGAGCATAAGTATAAATAGATTGACAAAAAAACAAAGTTAACTTTAAATTCTAGTCACATAGGAAACAGATCAGGATGTAGAGCCGATGATAAATTTAAATTTAATTTCTTTGTTTTTCACAAAAGTAAGGTCGAATTTTATGTCCCACTAAAGTGTTCGCAATTAGTATCCTAATAATGAGAATGTGAAACCACAAACTAGTTAAACTAGCTTCCTGTCCTCAACATGTGGCTACCAGGGATTCATAAAACGAAGGCTGTAAAAAAAAGTAGGTCATGATCACGTTTAAATTTAAAGCGGAGCAATGAGAAAACTCTTAGATAAATGATGCTACAAATTAGTAAATTGAAAGAGAGAATATTTTGTGTTCTTCCCTGAGTAGGTTTTATTGCATTTCAGATTGTCTACCTGGTTGAATTATTTTAATTATATGAAGCTATTGGAATAAGAAAATATTCTACGAAATAAATAATATTTAATCACTATATTACTACATACAAATACATCGTGATCTAATGACGACAGTAACAGCAATGATATTAGAACGCCGGTGTGCACAAGACATCTAATTCGATTAGCAACTTATGACGTATCATTCTACGTCATAGTAGTGATGAAATGTTGCAAAGGCGCCGCCCCCAGCAGCCCTAACATAAAATCAGGACGTCAATAATGCATCATAAACGAAATGTGTTTTCTACTTTACTAGGAATGGATATTTCTATACGTAACGGTGACGATATCAGCGTAGTGGAAGGCATGAAGCGGGCGCCGTGCCGCTTTATGCCTTCAGTTTAGCGACTGCGCTCGTGGCTAGTAGACGTTTAGCTTTTATTATCGCTGAAAGTAAACATACGATAATTAAATTAGGACTCCTGTTCGAAGTTTGAATTTCGGATTTGTTTTTTTTTTTGCGTGTTTATTTGTTTAATTTGTGTTGTGAAATGCGCGTGTGCGCCGAAAGACAAAGCGTTCGTTTAGCGTCGGCACGTTGGATACGCCGCCGTGCTGCAAGGATGGCCCATTCAATAGGGATGTTACATTTACAGTTCAAGAGAATGCTGAACAAGGAGCTGAGTCATTTTTCGGAGTCGAGCAAGTCTGGCAACCAAATCTCAGAATACATCTGTTCAACATTTTTGGGTAAGTGTCGGATTAATTGCATAAATCTTGTAGAAAAAAAATAACAACTCAGGTGACTGAAACGGGATGCGAACCAATTCGGATGGTTTGGTTTTTTTTTCTACAAGATAAATATTAAAATAGCATTGTTAATATATCTGGGGGAGCGACCGCCTTATTCAAAGCTAGAGACAAAACGATAGCTATAAAGCGTTTTGTTTTTAATAATGGATATGTTTATATTAACGATATGTTTTTTATTGTTTTGGCTCTAACTGTGGTAGACCATCTGCTCCCAGCGTATTGTTTTCAAGGAATTCCTAATAAACCAATATGTTTCATTTAGATTTCTAGTGCTCCTTTAATTAAGATTTTGTTTCTAAACATATTGATATAATTATATACTGTATATTATTATACAATATGAAAAATGATATAGATATAAAATTTATAAATAACCACCTGGTCTTTTGTAGTTAAACGTTGAAATTTTACCACGATTAAGCTTGTATCGATATAATTTATTTACTGATTATTATATTCAATAGTTTATTTGTCAAAAGTTAATATACCACGTCATCACTACCTTTAACATCATATTTACTAAATCTTATTTTGTCAATAATAATTTCAAACAGAATATCATTAAAGCTTTTAGTATAATAACAGATACACAACGAGATATGTATATTGTTATCTTTAAATGTTATAATAAATATTCATAGCGTATCTCAATTATTATTTGAGTATGTATCAAATAAAACGACACACGCGATGTAAAATTGACCTCTTCAATTGGTGACGTTGTAATTTAGTACAACCATTAAAAGCTCATGACAGCTTTCGAGCGTGACACGAATTCGGTGGTAGGCAGTTAATTTTTATATCATATATCACAATGGTCTTATACACGAATGCGTCACAAAAGCACGCAACCTATGAAAAATGTATTGTGTTATATCATGGAAGTGCGTACTTTGCCCCCGGCGACGTGACGTAGCCGCCCGCCCTTCGAAAGTTGCACGGACGAATTAGGACAACCCTTGTAAACCCCAACCCACATTATTAAACTAGTATTAACGATAACAGACTATTGTAAAGACTTTAAAACTATTTATCATAAGCAACATTAAAGTAATATTATAAAAGAGGTTAAGTTTCTAACTCTTTTGTTCTAATCTTTGAATATGCTTAGATCGTGAAAATTCTTTCACCTACGGGAAGCTACATCATAAACGGGTGACATAGGCTATAACTATTTACACGGGCGAAGTCGCGGGAGTATTTAAGTATCAATTACATATAAAAAATATATGTAACTTTTATATTATTTCAGTATTTTTAAATATTTATTTTTGAGTTATCGAGCTTTTATGTTGCTTTACAAAAATGTGCAAAAGTTTCAACAGAAATACTATTAAGTCAGCGTCAATTGATAGAAGCGCCTATCTAAAGATTCTGTTTTCGTAAATGTTGAAATGAATATTTCAATAATGTCTAATTTGCCATGATTTCTTTCACCGGTATCTATGCAGCAGGCATACTAAAAATAAGCCGACCAAATAATTTTAACTTCAAGACTAAGCTTGAACATTTTGAGTTGAATAACGTTTTGATATTATGCCACATATGTAGGTACACGTTAACAATCTGCAGATTATTATTATATAATGAAAAAAAATATATAACTTAGATGCTTCAGAAAAGTTATTATCCAAAAAGCGAATTTATTAATAAAAATATCTGACATCAAGATTTTGGCTACTTTAATTCTCCAATCTATCTGACGTTGAGACTACATAGAAAAAAAAACTATTACCAAAACTTTCCAATACCTGAAAATCTTTATTGATGTGCTCAAGTGCTACGCTTAGTGATAAAAAGAACTAAATTTTCATTTAATAGATAAGATACACGTCATATTCACAATAATAATACGATGCTATTACAATTTCTAATTTAAAGTTCAGCTACAGTTCAAGCACTCTTTATTGCTATGGCATACGTACACACTATACAAATTGGTGATGATTTCAAATTATACAAACTAGATGTTGTTAGTTCGTACCGGAACAAGTACTTACTCAGTATAGGCTCGCCCGTATTTCACAACTCCAATAAATCTCAATCAGAACAAGTCTTAAAGAACATACCAGTGGCATGTCTTCGTCATCCTAGCTAGTAAAAAATTGTCGATCGCAAATTGATACGCAAGGCTAAATAATTGGCTAAATATATTAATAATTTTCATACAATAGGATGCCTTCTAACGTAATATCTTACAAGAAAACGGTAGCTTATAAAGTATTTTAAGTTGATATTTCAACGCTTCCATAGCAACCTTTTCTAGTAGTTTACAGACATCGTGACTTTTATTTTACGTACATTAGATGTTTCTTATCAGATTTATATATGGAAATGCTGCTATGATGTAAATAAATATTTGTTATCTCCGAGACGATAATGTAAGCACTTTAACCTGCGCACGCGTCGACAACCGGGATGTCGATAAAATTATATTTATGACAATATTATCATAGATACTTATAGTTACCAATGAAATGGAGACGTAATGATTCGATTGTATCTACAAATAGTGAGCTCGGTACGAACGAGGGTTACTATAGATACGTAGCTCCTTAATTAAATTGTTTGCTCGGTGAGACCCTGGATTCTCGATCTAAGTTTGAATACGGCCCAATAATAGTTTGAATGCCAAACTTGATGCTTTGCAAACACGATCCTATTATTTATCAGTTCTCAATGTTGGATGAACTGAATCAGTAGGGGGCAGCGTTCCCGGAATTTGTTTAAGGGTTGGTGTAAATCTGACGGACGGTCTTTCCTCTCACGGACTTTCTTAAGCCGACTGTGCAAGGTTGAATGTCATTTCATAGGTTTGTCTATTACAATAGGTATGATGCTTGAAAAAAAAAATCTATTTTAACCATCTATCAGATAATAGAAAATATTCAATACATATATTTTTGCTAAAATTTGAGGAGAACGGCTCACTCCGTCACAACTATGTAAAAAATTAACAAAGATGTGATGTCATGCAACATTTTAAGACAGTTTTTCTCCATTTATTGATTACGCAAAAAATAGGTATTTTATATTCTTTAATAGCTTACATAACGGACAGACAAAAAGATAGCCATTGCATCCCTATCACGCGACGTATCTTCCGTCAGATAACCACCGACCCTGAGTTGACTAATCAGAATTACGTTTGGTTTAAAATATTATTTGTATATATTCTCAATATATTAAATATTTCCTCACGGACTTTAAAAACCGAAACTTGAGTTTTTTGATTATCAGTTATTCTTATGAATGATACTAGATTACAGCAGAAAATGAAATATCGTATTCTCACACAAAATACAAATAAAAGTAAAAAGAATAACTTATATATTTGATATCTCAAAAGCTGCCTACTATGAAAGCTTTTAGGCCTAAGCTTTCTTATTTATACTTAAAACTTTCTATTTATAACTTGAAACAAAAGAAAAAAATAACAAAGGCTTACTTCACATTATAAATAATAATATATATTTAACGTTTCAGTAAGTCATTGTTCTCGAGATTTTACGCACATTAACGAACAAACAGAAAATGTTGTTTTAATAAAACTGTAGCGTCTTTTTATCTCAAAATTATTTATTTTTGTACAGGCTCTTAACATGACAATATTATTTTATTATATAAGACATTTTATGTTTTTCAAACATATTACAATATCAATTTATTGTGTCCTGTAAATATTTATTTTGTACACAGATAAGTTGCGCACACCACGTGTTTTGTTTCATTTAAATTACTGTGATGTAGATTATTTGACTGAAAAAATTATTTAACATTTGATGAAAATGTCTATTATGTGTGTACGTAACGCTGAAGTAATAATAATTTTATACATTATAATCGAAAATTACAAACAGCACATTCCCATACCATTTTTGTAGTCTTAAAAAATATGAAATCATCAAATTCTTAACTTTCACTGTCTTAATATTGACTAGTTTGTAACATTTGCAGATTGTAAGACTTTCATAATACCTATTTATAGCGACAACAGAATAACGATTTAAGAGGAAAACATTATATTTTTTAAATGTTCTCTTAGAGTTTGAACGTAAAGTGAAATTTTTGCTTTTCTACTTCATCGCTATGTAACATGGCATGGCATGTTAAAGGCCCCTCAAAACTATTTTATGTTAATAAATAACTACTTATACATATGTAATTCCATTTATTTTATGTTATTAAAGTTGTGTTTAGATCTTTAATTACGTATGCTTAGATATGCGTTTACGATAAATAAGAATATTCTGACCAAAAAACCTAGTCAAATATAATACGTAACATCTAGTACTTTATGGCTTATGAATAACTATTGCGCCATTAATATATTAGAGATAAGATATACGAAATGGACACCGACCACTTCAACTTGTATAAATATATAGAATCTTCACGTGGGTCTAGTGCTCGCAAGAGTTTTTTTTTTATTAATGAAAAACTTTCCCATATCTAGAAGATATAATATTTGTTGTAGCATATTTTTATATGGAAAAAATTTCATGTTATTATATTTATATAGATAGTACCTAGTACCTTAATCAGGACACAAAAATCATGTTATCAACAAAGTGTAATATTGCATATATTCACCTACTTTCTCCCAACATAGATATAGCCGGTGACATAGATTTTGAAAGTCATAAATATTATATTAATTATTATGTAATTTCTCATATTATCTTAGCAATATACGCGTCTTGCTTGATAAACTTGCATGTAAGCGTAATTACCACTATAAGTGACTTCATATTTTTAGGTCTTTAATTTAGGTATAATATTATATCTTGTTTGTAGATTTAATGTAATGCTATTACTAAATTTAATATATGTTTTATGTTTAATTTATTAATTTAATACATTGATTACAGACAAACAACAAGAACTGGACCTACCGTCATTGCAAGTGGATGAGGGTTCAGAACGTCAAACTAAAAAGAAGGAAAAACCACGCGCTGGCGGACCAGCCACTACAATGTCACAAGTAAGCTATCAACATTTATGATAACTGAAAGAATAGGTTTGCTTATAAATCCTATCACAGTTAATGGAAGATTTTCTTTTTTTAATTTATTTTAAAATGGAGAAGCTTTGATGTTCTTGTATTTTTTTTTCAGATATCTGGTGTCAAAAGATCACTCACACACACCAATAGCTTCACCGGTGAGCGTGTCCCAAGATATGGTGTGGAGACTCCTCATGAGGAAGAGTTAGGCAGGCAGTTGAACGAATTGGATCGCTGGGGCGTCGATATCTTTCGCATCGGCGATCTCTCTTGTGGCAGACCGCTGACAGCCGTCGCCTACGCTGCCTTTAACTCCAGGGAACTTCTGTCTACGCTACAGATACCACCACGGACGTTCTTAGCATTCGCCGTGACACTTGAAGAGCACTATGTCCGTGACAATCCTTTCCACAATTCACTCCATGCAGCGGACGTTACACAGTCCACGCACGTACTACTTAATACGCCGGCTTTGGACGCCGTGTTCACTCCACTCGAGGTGTGCGCTGCATTGTTTGCAGCTTGTGTTCATGACGTAGACCATCCTGGACTAACTAATCAATTTCTCGTAAACTCTAGCTCTGAACTCGCTCTAATGTATAACGACGAGTCAGTACTTGAAAATCACCACCTAGCAGTTGCATTCAAATTACTACAAAACGAGGGCTGCGATATATTCATAAATTTACATAAGAAACAGAGACAGACATTGAGAAAGATGGTCATCGACATGGTACTCTCGACAGACATGTCCAAACATATGAGCTTACTGGCTGACCTGAAGACCATGGTAGAAACAAAGAAAGTGGCTGGAAGTGGAGTATTATTACTAGATAATTACACAGATAGAATACAGGTATTGGAGAATCTCGTTCATTGTGCTGACTTAAGCAACCCTACTAAGCCTTTACCTCTGTATAAGAGATGGGTAGCTCTGCTTATGGAGGAATTCTTCCAGCAGGGAGACCGTGAGAGAGAGCAGGGCATGGATATCAGTCCTATGTGTGATAGGCACAATGCAACAATAGAAAAGTCTCAGGTCGGTTTCATAGACTACATTGTGCATCCGCTGTGGGAAACGTGGGCGGATCTGGTACATCCCGACGCCCAAGACATTTTGGACACGCTAGAAGAAAATCGCGATTACTACCAAAGCATGATACCTCCGTCGCCGCCACCTGCCCCCGTACAAACATCACATTCAGTGCCAGATGAAGATCGTCCCGAACAAATAAGGTTTCAAGTAAGTTCTGCTATTTTTTTTATATATATTATGTTATCAAAATACCATAATGTTCACTTAAACCTGGCAATTCAGTCACTTTAATCTTCATTGGCAGAATAATTAAATCCGTAATTACGTCAATGCTAATCGAAAATATTCAAACATCTATCGTTTTTGATAAAATATATATTGATAACAAAGCTTCTAATCCATTTGTTTTTGCAAAAATTGATGACGTAATCATATTTTACGCTTTCTTAGAGGAATAAGTTTTTCATGAATTATTTTAACATACACTTATATACAAAGTTTCCGAATTGCACTTTTCAATTCTGTTCGGTTAAAACAAATAGCTAAAAAATATTACAAATAAATACTACAATTGCATAAAGAATAATTTGAAAACAAATAAATCTCACTCTAGTGAACCCATCATCTAGAAATTTAACATTGAAGAAACTGTTCTAGATTTGTTATTGTTGTGCAGGTAACACTAGAAGAGGGCGAAGGTTCAGAAGAATGCGAGGGCGAGGGTGACGGTGGGATGTGACGGAAACTGCTGGGAATCTGTAAGAAACTCACTGAGAAGATGCAGGTGTGGTGGAGGCTCTGGCAGTAGCGCTGCGCCCGCGCCTTCGACGGCAGCGCCACCAGGACGCGCGGATTGTTGGATAATAATAACACTTGTTGACGCTTACCTCGAAATGAAACGATCTGCGGGTGTATCGTAACATTTCGATTATGATTAATTTAAATGTGATTATTATGCAATGTTGTTTAGAGTTACCTAACGACTAAAATTATGTCCCTCCAATGACTGTGTAACGTTCGATTGTCTAGTGTTTTTACTATTGTTTCGTTTTGTCTAACCAAAGATATGATTCGGTTCTTATGTTTACAGTAATGTTCGATATCCCTGTAAGTAGTTAGTTAGTGTTCGGTTAAAATTAAAAGTCGTGTAAGTAGATATAGCGGCCGACTCCGTATTACCGGGTCGGCTGAATAAGGACATTGAAAACGCTTATTAATTGGTATGAAAGGGTAATTTATATTGTCATATCATCCACGTTTCTCATATTTAATACGGGTTTGCGATAATGATGTTATTCACCAAAATATATTAACATGATAGGTATCCTAATGTAAATCTATTTTAAGGTAAATTTTAAAAATTGCCTTTCGAAGTTGTTGTGTCTTTTTTCTGAATATATAATATTCGGCCAGGCTCTCACCGTGGATAGACACGTTACCACGTTCATCCTGTTAGATAGCTTTACTTGATTTATAATCCTAATAGCACCTCATTTCTTATGGGCGGTCGCTGGCGACCCCTTTACTTTTCTCTTATAGAATAGTGTATTATTTTTGTAAATGAATTATTGTCTGGTTATCTTGTATCCAAATATTACGAAGAAAAATATTATAGTCGTGGTACTTTTTAAGTTACAGTTTGTATAACGCAACTAACGGCTTGAAGTGTTTGATTAAAATGTTAAGTACTAACAAACGAGTGGTTTGCGACTAAGTTTTCTCTCGGAAAGAAGGTTTCGTTTTAATTTGGAACATATTTACTTAAGTGCAAGTGTATAACAGCACGCGGGCCGGGTCTTGCAATAGTACATACTAAGTAGATTGTATCCGATTCACTCTCTTCGCACTATACCTACATGTATCTATAATCCATGTGTTAGCTCATATCCTAATTGTAATACGTAATTTCTGAAAAATTAACAACTTCGATGCGACACAATGCAGATCTGATCATCACCCATACAGTATTCCTCATTATTAAATACTTTAGTTCCAATCATTCTTTGGAACTGGGAGGGTGGAATGTCCCTGTCTTAAGTTTGCATTTCATTATGATCATCGTTTTAATGAACGATTTTGTTATTTATGAGCTGGTCTCAAAACTTTCATGTACTCAGAAGATATTCGTTTTTAATTGTTTAAATGATTTTATTGTATCTCTTGACAAGTTTTCGTTTTTGTTATACGCAAATATATTTATCCGTTGTGGCAACTAATAGAATGAGTATTATTTTGTGAGTATTCTAAGTCAATCATTGTAGCATTCATCGGAGTCAAGAAAAAAGGTCCAATATACATTATTTTCGTAGGTACCTATTTTAAGATTTATTCGGCGATCATATTAATTCATGTTACCAATCTCGGGTTCGCCGTGATGTCTTCAAATTGTCTGATTTTGGAATGCATAGAATAGTATTTGAACTTTGAAAAAAAATAAAATAAAGCGCTTATCTACTTGTGTGTTAAAATAGACATTACGCTTAGAATCATTTGATTTCTAATGTATAGGTATTTGTAACGAAATTGTGTTATAATGTTTGTATAACAGTAGATCAGTGTATAACACCCAATTTTGGTAAAAATATTATTCAAGTGTGCCAATGTGGTGCATACAATAACACTTGGCTCATAAGTACACTATACACAACATCTTATTTGAATAATTGTACAGACATATTACATTGATCCTTTAACCGTATTTATGACATGTCTTAATGTCTATACATCTTGGTTATTTAGAAAATTAAATTAAAAAGAACAAATCTAAGTAGTTTGAAGTCTACATAAACATGAACGTGACATGTCATATTCAATAGTCATAATTTAGCGTTACCTACATAATGGATTATCAAGTTGTTTTATGACAGTGGTTTCAGTGTTGTGTACCTATATGTTTTGTCAATATGAAAAACTATCCCTAAGATTGGATATACCTAGTTAAATTATTAAATACCGAAATAAAAAAAGTGTGCAATGCTGGTCATTTGCATTACTTTTATTTATGTTTAAATAAAAAATAGCTTGTAATAGTTTAAATGAGTATTTGAGTTGATTTAAAGAATATTAATGTATTTAGAATAAAAAGATATGGGAGAAAACTGATAATACATTTTATTTATACATAATTCCTATCCTAAAAAATCCTTAACTCGCCAAAGCCAAAATAAAGCAACATGACGAAAGCAGCGTTTAACCATGACTTTACAGAAGTTGTGTTAAGTTATTATTGTCTCTAAAACAAGACAATACGATAATATCTATGTACGATATGCTTATGGCTCAGTTACACTAGCCGATGGAGTTAGAACGCTGAAGACTTCTGCAGACTCACCTCGTTGGTAAACAAAACAATGACCGAACAATGAAAGCAAGGATCAAATCTCTCACTCACTATACGTGGATGTTATCGACAAGTGTAACTGAGCCATTAATGTTCAGCCCTGCGATTCTGCAAAAATCCAAACCCGAATTAAAATTCACTCAGGTCGGATTGGTAATAACTTTTTGTGGCATTAGAACAATGAGTTTCGAAACGACATAAGAATAGAATATCTGAGACACGTATATTCAATAAATTTATACAAAAAAATAGAATCAATAGATTTCTAAACTCAATAACATGAATTCGGACACATGAGTGAATTCGAAATTCGAGTCTGGATTTTTACAGAATCGCAGGGCAGATCATGGGCAGATCATCAAAGAAGTAGCATGGATACAAGACGTGGCCGATCCACTCAGAACAATCTATAAAAAAACTCCATTCATTATAGCATTAGACAGAAGTTAAATAAGGTTTTTTTTATGGTATACTTTGTGACAAAATATCAGTAATCATGTTATTCTTAAAGAAGCAGGGTTGAATAGTTTAGGCACGATTCTCATGTCACTATAACTCTACCAAATTTAAAACGTTGCCTAATACGTTCAAATGTTTCGGCAGTACAACTTTTTAATTTTGTCAGACTATAATGTATTCATAATTGTGAAAATACGTAATCTGGGATTGTCATCGATTGTGAATGCTACTGCTTTTCTTGTTGTTTTGCCGTTTTCCGTGATTAAGTTGTTACCTATTGTTTTATTTTTGTTTTAAGGTTTTGTTAAATATGGACGATGCCGGTGCAGGCCCGAGTGGCCCTCATACCTACCCTCAACCTTTGACATTTCAGGAAAATTTTCCAATGTCTTCATCAATAATCTAATGTCTGAATAAATGTCATAAAAGTAATAATACTCGTTAAAAATCATTTTGTGTACCTTTCTTACCTGGCCATAGATATAACTAAATTCTATTCTAATTATATACACTTTGAAAAAGAATTTATCAAAACAACAGATAGTTAGTTTTAGTTCCATGTCGGCTTAGGAGTAAAAGATGAATTTACTCCCAAGCCACCATTGAAAACTAAATTAAAAATTAAAAGAAAATTCTGACCTCAACTCAACCCCGAGGTATCGTAAAAAATTGACAATTGCCCAGCTCTTTTAGACTGCCTAACATTCAAAGTTTCAACAAATCTCTAATATTTATTTTTTAAATTTATCTTGAAAATAAAATGTTCTGCACCGCTGCTTCTATGACCCTCTTTTTTCTAATGTTATAATGAATGGAGTATAGCTGCGTTTATATCTGAGGTTACAAAAGGTAAACAAACAGATGTAATATATACAAACTTCAAAGTTAAAATCACATGGGATTAATGGAACACTGTTAAGAGTTAGTGGTTTAACTCTTACTTAAGTATATGTAAACCTCAACAAGTAGTTATTAATGCGTTTTCATCAAGCCACTATCGTGCAACGTTAAGAGTGGTGGACTGCAACACTGAACAAATCGAACATAGCATTTTGAGTCATTTTGCTGACAATCTTAAAATAAACTGGAATGTTCATTCTTTTCAAGATATGCATCTACTTCAAAAGGACTTAGATAATGTAAATAACTGGTGTGTATCTAACAGGCCCGTCTTTACCCATGATGCAGGGGGTACGGCGCACCGATGATCTTCGGGAAATTCCCTGTAATAGGAGGGAGGGGCAGAGCACTGCGGCCTAATATCTAATCAGATGAGTCGGAATGTTGACAAGTGACACTGACAATAACATACACGTTGACACTGTAGTAAAAAAGTAACCGGATTGCTAGGATTTATTAAGTAATAGATCGGATGCTTCTTAATAAAAAAACATTATTACGGTTATAATTATACTTTTCATTGCTTTAGTTAGGAGCTTATTGGAATATCCAAATATGACATGGAATGCCATTTATGCAATTCAGTCTCAACGTATTGAATCCATTCAACGTTTTACGCATTTGGGTCACCTGGTATATCGCACAGAACTCCTTATGACCAAAGATTATTGTTCTTCACCATTCGCTCTCTATAACAACGGTGAATTATCCTGGATCTATCGTTTCGCATAGGCTTCTCAATGGATCATTAAATTGTAACCATCTCGTGGAAAGTGTGTCACCAAATATACCCTCGCGTCTTCCTCGCCAGCCTATACATATACATATTGCTCCACTTTTCCGTTGCCATGAGACATACCTATAACCCTCGGAATGGGAATAATACTTATAGAATCGATATTTTCCACTACTCGTTACTTTAATTCTCCAATCATTAAGGTTTCAGTGTGTAGAATAAGATGTACAAATATTATTGTAAATACATATATATTCTTCATTAATTCATATTGTAAACACATTTTCGTTCCTATAGTAAATGT